AATACTTAAGCTATCTAATGCGGAATTAAATGAACAATTTCCAAGAAAATGTTTTCGATCAACAGGTTTGCGTTCATTATCGCAGGTGATTTCAGATTTCTTGTCAAATTAATTTAAGATGTAAAAATAAAAAATGGCATCCTTTAATGCACAGCCCCGACGATTATTTTTTCGGACCTGCAACAAAACAAGTTTTCCAGATTCCATCCTGCGTGTAGAAATAATTGCATTTCGTTGTGGGTGTAATGAGTATGGTGATTTTCACTAGCTTTTAACTGGGCAATTCAATGTGAACGTAAGGACAGGATACATTTTCTAAAAGATGGTTGCTTTTTGCAGTAGACATGCATTATTTTTAAATCTTTCAATAATCAGGAATGTAGACAGCTGGCACCTCTGCTCATAGCAAAGCACATCTTCATTTCCGGCTCGGGGAATTACAGTGTTAAATCAAGCCTCAGCTGTTTTTTACTGTCCAACACGAATCTTAATCTTAATCTTTGTCACCATGACGAAAATGTGGGATGTCTCAAATGGAAGCGAGTCCGAAGCCGCCCTTTCAAACTGCAGTCATAATTTTGTAGTGCATAATTCACTCCAAAAGAGATACTATCAAAGAACTGGATTTTCGTTCGATTAGCTCGTAGGCATGATGGGATACTTTTTTGTTAAAAAAGGCCTACCCCAGCCTCATGCCGGACAGTAGTAGACAGCTGAGGATCGATTTGAAACTGTAACGCCAGGTGACAGGCAGCTGCTCTTTGTCCAAAACTGTTGCCACAGACTGAGCCAATTAATCTAGAGGGTTTAATTACGTAAAGTAAGAGAGACTGAGCTGGAATTAAGCCAGGACTTCTAGTCCTCTCAACTGTCCAGCAGGAAATTTCACCACAAGGAAATCGTGACCTCCGAGAGATGGGGCACCGATCAGGAATTTCCGGACCCTTCTGAAACACGACAGATAGCGCCTCCTGCTGGACCACCAATGCCTACGCATGCTCCACAGCAAGCCGATGTTCCTGCGCCATTTCTAAGCCGTCCCTGGCCTAGACAGCGCAATCGGAATTTCAGTGACGGAATTCACGTCTTCCAGCACTGCTCCGACAACGGCAGAGAGAAACATTCAGACCTCGAGCAGGGAAATGGGACAAATGTGATGTTACTCCCATTAACCCTTTAAACACGAATGTGACGCGGATGGATCTATGCTATAATATCTTTCTGTATCCTGACAGGGCAAACACTATCGGAAAGGGACTTTTCTTCGGATATGCTTTTATTGCACCGGTTCCTAGTGAATGATTGGTAGCCGAGTCTAAAATACATCCAAAGCAAGAAAAAGACCATCGATCAGTCCTCTGATATCCTTCTAGATCAGCTTCAATGAGCGACCCCTGGAAGCACAGCGCAGTGCCTGTGCTGGAGAAAGACAGTTTTCAAAAATAACGCATTACAGTTCCATTACAAGTTACCTCTGTAAGGGATGACTTTGTAACAGTGGCGCCAACTCAGGGCCAAATACTCGCAACCGTCACAGGAATCAATGACGTCTGTGTACAGGTGATGTGCAGAGCAGCTCCTTATCTCTTAAAAGTGATTTCCCACAAACTATTATGCATTTAAAAGAGTAAATGTACATTTAAAAGTGACTGGGAACTGCAGGGTGTTAGCTCCCTTTCCCCAGCACTGTGTACGAGTCTGACTGGTGTGCCTCGGTTTTAATAAATTAATAGCCCACTTGGCTCCCATCACAAGTCTCACAGGCCCAGAGGATTCCCCAGATTCCTCAGCTATGAGGTGGAGTGAACTGTAAGCCATCACGGGCTCTCCCCCAGCTGGCACCCACTCAGAATACTGGGCCGAAGAGAGGCACTGTGGGTAAAGTACAAGCATGACACAACAGCAGCGCCAACACTTGAGCTTCAGCTCCTGAGCTCTCAGCGTGGCGGCAGGAGGCACCGCTCCACACCGCCACACTGAAGGTGGGCTTCAGAGCGACAAGCACAATCTGCCTGAGAGCACCTTGACCACTCAAGTCAAGGTGTTTCTGCCCAAACCTTCAAGACCTTGTCTTGAACCTTCACTCAAGTCAAGATTCCAGTGATCTTCAACCAGGTTGAGACTCCTGGACTGAGGCTCTGGAGGACCAGAGCAGGCAAGCCCCAGCTTTGAGGGAAACAACCAGAGCTCTCCCTCCGCTCCCTAGTTTACCCAAACAGTATGGGGATGCATCCCGCTAAATGAAACAGTTTTCAGCACAAACGCCTTCCTCGTTGGGCAGCAACATGGAGTAACGGTTGGGGAGCTGAAAGAGTCACAAGATCATATCTCAGTAAGCTGGTGTATCCTTCACTTAAGCCACTTCTCTCCTAAGTGGGCCTGTAGGTGCCCTGCTGTATGAAGCAATAGTCTCTTGGTCCTCATTGCAAACAAGAATTGTATTTGTCCACTGTTGATTTCTCTGGTTTCACAGAGGAATAGAATGTTTTTTTTTTTTCCCCAAAGCTTCACCTGAAAACCATCGCACAATAACGGCCCCACCACCAACTTTCTGCCTTTTGCGGTTTTCACGGCTGTTGTGAACCGGGCCCGACGCGGGTTCGAACCTCCGCTCGCCACGAACCAGCCCACCGGCGGGGAGGGCTTCCCTCCCCGGCCAGATGTCAACAACGAGACAGCGGCTACGCAGGGCAAGATCGCTCGACAACCTGAACCGAGTTGCTGCCCGTTGGGCGGATAAAAAGGCTCGATTCAGTCCAGGCCCAAGTTTCCAGTTCATCCGGAGTTTGAATTTGAAAACAAATAAAGAAACATGGAGAGGGAGTGGAAAAACACACCCCAGTATTCATAATCCCCAGTGCCCAGAGGCCAGACCCTCTGTCATGTTGCCACCCACCTCTTCTTTTTAATTTAATGACTAAACCATCTGGGACCCACTTCAATCAGAGCATGAATCAATGAATCAATCAGTTCATGAATGAATCAATGAATCAGTTGGTGCATTCATGAATCCACCAGTTCATAAGTGAATCAACGCATCACTCAGTGCATGAATGAATCAATTAATGAATCAATCAGTTCATGGAGGAAGCAATGAATCAATCAGTTCATGAATGAACCAATGAATCAATCAGTGCATGCATGAATGAACCAATTAGTCCACCACTAAACAAATCAGCTTCTCTGAGACAGCCTCGTTTGAAACTCAAACCCTAATGATCATGAAGACTGATGAGGGTTTCCACTTGTGAGGTGTGTGAACAGTGCTCTGGACCCCTTTAAATTCTGCAGCCTGGGATCGTTAACAGTGGGTCCCTATTAAGGATTATACCACCTTGACCACCACGCCTTACATTTTGATGAAGTGATGACTGTCATCAACCATGGTCGTGACAATTATTTAAGGCATCTGGAATTTTCCGAAGCTCCATCGGCCTCTAAACGACAGGAATAAAATCATGTAGCGTCTCTGTAATTTCAAATTAATGCTCCCGTGAGAACTATAGAACACTGACAGATCTTTCTACCTTATCCACAGCTTTAAATTAACACTCCCATCATCAGACTTATTAAAAAAAAACGGAATCAGAATTCTAGCTCATGCACAGTTTCCAAATTAATACTCCCGCTATCAAATCTGTAGATCACTGTTTTTTTATGTAACTTCAAATTAGCACTCCTACCATCAGCTTTGTAGAAGGCTTGAAAGAAATAGTCGAACTCAGCTGTAGCTTCCAATTAACACTCCCAGCATCATCAGTTCTGTACAACGCTGAAAGAAATCTGCAATTTCAAACACCCCCAACCTGAAAAAACAGACCCAGTTACTAATAAGAGAAAAACTGAACGATGCCCAAACAACACAACTTCTTTTCATGTTAAACATCCTATATATATATATCCCTCTGCATATAGAAGCCTATATCCCATCCCTTTCAAGAAGGACGGATGGTTTTCAATCCAAATAAATGAAAAAAAAAATACAATAAACATCTGTGTTCTTTTCTGTTCCGTTGACTTTTCAAGTTTCGCTGCTTCGCTATCGCCTTGACGTTTTTATGTATTCTCAGGTGGGGGGCACTTTTTGAAAACCATTTTGTTTGTAAACATAGAGAAATCACACCCCACCTCCTCCCTCCCTCCCTCCCCGCAAGAGTCCCTCGCTTTTTTGTGTCGTGCTTGGTTGTTGTGGGTGTTGTTGTTGTTGTTGTTGTTGTTTTCCTGTGTGTTGTTCAGTCGGACGGTCAGGTTGGTTGATGTGCGAGTTCCGAGTTCGTCACAGTTTACCTCCGGTAACGACGCAGGGGGCTCAGCGCGTGGCGGGGGAGCGAGGGGAAGAGCCGGCTGAAAACGTCCCCACCGCGCGCGCGCGCCACGCCCGGTACTACGTCACGCGTTGCGCCGGCCGACGTCCCTTTCCCGAGATGCGCAGGCCCGCCGGCTGCTCCGGTCCTCCTGCAGGAGCGCTTCTGCCCTTCACGCCGTGTAGTCGCCGCCGGTCGTCAACAGCAATCAACGCAGGCGATTCGTTTGCCAGGGACGCGACTAGCAATTTCACGGCAGTTCAAGATTTTGTTAACTAGTGGGGGAGAAAGAAGGGGGGTGTGGCTGGCTTTCAGCGATACGACTGTAAACAGAGACGAGGGTTATAAATAAATGGTTTCAGCACAGACATCAGTCATATCAACAAGGCTTTGGGAATGAAGCCTTTTCTTTTGCACGTGATGGGCCGCCTCCCCCTCGATAATTAATTCCTGCCGCCATTCGCTCGTTGAAAGTGTGTTCTCTCCTGTAGCAATACAGGGGCACTTTAGCAGTTCAGGTGGGGAGCTGCGTCAGCGTGCATAGGCTGCAAAGGAACGAGTAAGAGGTTTATTCCCTGCTGAAAACAAAACGGAGAAAGCACAACGTTTCGGCTGTGGAGTCTTCTTCAGGTGTGAAAAAGACCCTCACGCCCGAAGAAGGCTCCGAAGCCGAAACGTTGTGTTTTCTTTCTTCTCTTTCCAGCAGGGAATAAACCTATGACTTGTTCCTAGTGACTTTTTATCCTATTGTGGTCTCGGAGTTGCCAAACGTTGTTTTTTTTTTGTCGTTATGGTTGCTCCTCATTAAAGTACGGGCTTTGTATTAAAAGATTGCGTCTGACGTCAGCAAATCTACCCTGACGGCTTGCGCAGCGCGGGGGGTCTCTGCATCCCGTTACGTTAAACGGAGCGAGAACAACGCTGATTATCCCAACCCGACAGGCTGACGAGCCCAGGAGCCCAGGTGAGCGACGCGGTATCACACCGCGTCTCCCTTCCGGCTTCGCCTTCCGAAGAGGTGGAAAAATCGTCATTCAAGAATCGTTTGAATCGAGCAAGGCAGGACGCGTTTAAAGTCCGCGATCCTTCATCCAGCAGCCCACAGGGTGAGCATCGTATTTCATGACCTACGTAACTCATGGAGTGGAGCTAAAGTGTAAAGCTAACAGTATAATTATCTTCTGGTAGTGTTGCACCTGAAGTACACCATACTGCTGCACTGTTACCTTCATGGAGTAGGTCACACTGCTACTGGGCTTTCTACAAGGGAAGTGATGCGATCAACAGCCAAGACTAAACACAGATGGCAGCACCACACGGACGTCCAGCACTGTGTGTATCTTGTAATACTGCACGTGCTTTGGTTTAGGAGTAGTGTCACACCCTACTGCATTGTCATCTAGTTGGGTTTGGCGTTTGACTCCACACTTGGACAACCAAGGGAGAAGTGGAACAGGCCGCGCTTCCCCGACGCGGTCAGGGTAGATCACCCGCTGCGTAGGATACGACAGGCGGGAGAGGCGTACTGTAGATCCGCCTTTACTCAGTGTGACCGTGGGTCACTCTAGGGGTGACAGGCCCTCTTCCTGCTGTGCCTCAAAGCTATGGAATTCTGGCCCTAAGGATATTGGAATCACTTTCCCTGAGCGCTTTCAGATCCGGGCCCCAAATCTTTCTGTCCAGAAGGTCATTCTTAATTGGCGACTGTGTCTGCTGCCTGCCTCTTCTACAGCATTTCGGAGCCTTTGTGTTTCTATGTGCTAATTTTGTCATTGTTACTGTTTTTGTCTGTTTTAAACGTTTTTTTTTTTACTCTTCCTGTAAAGTGCTCGGATAAGATGCTTTTAACGGCCCTATATAAAACATTGAATCGTTACCTGCAATGGCTAGGAATTGCTGTTGTATTCCGAAATCTACACGCGAGGCTGTTGGGGTGCGCTTACGTCAGGCATATTCTGTAGTAGGCCATAGAGACGCCTAGGAATAACACCTGGGGTACCACAGCGCAGTGAACAAGACAGGTCTCAAAACAGCTTAGACCGGTCTGTTGATGATGATGATGATGATGATGGCTGTACTGAACTGCAATTAAAAATCCTCAGTTTTGCTTTCAAATGGAAAGGCTCTCTGCGCACCTCTTTGCCCAGCAAAAAAACAAAGAAATAACACTTTGAAGCGCTGTGAAATTGCTAGCGATCCTGCCAGGAATACATTGGCAGCCGTTCGCGATGAAAAAGGCTGGCAACGAGTCTGTAGCAGCGATCGGAGCCTGGTTTCTCCACCAACAACAGCTCCTTTTAAGATCGTGGGTAAAGATACAGGAGGAGAAGCCGATTCGCTCGGTTAAGAGCACACAAAAGGCCACAGAGGAGATGAATCCTGCTCGTTTGGGCGGCCCCGCCGGCGCGGTGCAGCTTGTTCTCGAGCTGGGAGGGGGGGGGGTTCATCTTGCGCACGCGGATCGGGGTTCCTCGACGTGGAGGCGCGGACCCGAGAAACCCGCTGTGGTGCCTCGCCGGGGCTGATGGGAGCCGCGGGCGACCCTTGCAGGGAGGCGGCAGGAAGGGCCCCAGTCCGCGCAGTGGCTACCGCGCCAAGCTGCCAAATGCCAGCACCCGTCCCCCCCCAGAGCCACAGCGGCATAGCGGGTCCGGTCCTGGTGTTCGCCTCTCGTACGCCCCTGTTCAGCTTGAATACAGCCCTTCCCACCACCACCCCCTCGCCCCCCAGTATCTTTCCCAGTGGAGGAGCTGGAGGCCTGTAGATCTTGAGAAGAGGACCTTTGGCAGCACAGGTTTAACGGTGGGGTGGCCGGACTGGTCAGTTGCTCTGGCGCTGTGGCCGAGTGGAGGAACTAGGAACCGGATCGAATCAAAGCTTTGATCCGCCTGCCGGGAAGCAAATTCCCAAAGCCCACATCCTGACTAGCGGCGGTGACGGTGTGTTTGGCAGTTTAGGACTGGCCGAGGGGTGGGGTGGGGTGGGGTCAAAGTTGTGATTGAATCTAGTCCCAGGGCAGGTGTATCCAGGGCTCAAATGATCCCCCCCAGTAAATAAAAAGAGATATGACCACGTAGGGCCACCTGCTCTTGGCAGGAATTCCTTCCCAGATCTGCTTTCTGAGCGCTGCGAAGCTCTTTTCCCTGAGCCTAAAGCAAAACCAGTGCATAAACAACCCCCTCTCTCCCCCCATTCACCTCTATCCCCAAGGCAAACCCACGGTCTGTTTCTCTGGCTAATTCCTTTCGTGAAGCAATAAGCACGCCTTTGGAAAGAATGTCTCCACTTTGCAAAACCAGGCAGAACTAACCCTTCCTTACAGCTGGAGAGAGTGGCTCCTCTTTAAGAGATGTTCAGGTGAGAAAATAGCCGAGGACTCTTTGCGTCAACTTCAGATGTTTGAGATTTAATCAGGAAGCTGGCGAGGTTCAAGGGTGGGTGTTCGCTTTGACAAATTATTGCGGGGAATTACTGTTATCAATAGTAGCTGGTTGCCTAGTGAGGCAATCGTGCTCTCGCCTAAAGAGGCAGAGAGAGGCTATGAATCTTTCAGAGTGTCACCATTATTTAACATCCCTGCCTCCGTTTATGCGAAGGAATCTCTCAGGGCACAAACTGGGTATTACACTCTTCTTTGCAATTTCAAATGGCCGTGAAACTGCCGATCCTGTCAGCAGTAATCTGACAAACTGGAAAATTTGCCATCACATATTGACGGCAGGGTTTGCTCGCATGTTTGCCAAGCGAGGACACTGTCAAAGGCTGGTAGCTCTACCTGTACACCTCTATTTGAAGGAGAGCGGAGTTTGCAGTCTCTTCCCATGTCGTGCATCAGTGCCGTTTGCCTACAGAGAGTTGTTTATATCGTAGTTGGCTTGTGCAATCTTCCTTGCCTTGAGCTGTACTCTTCATTTTCCCTTAATTCAACCCGAGCCCTGAAGCTCACAAAGACTCCCAGCCGTGCCTCTCTCATCTCACAGGTGACCTTGCTGATTAGCTGCTCACTGGGCATGGAAGAGCAAAGAAGAGAGAGCAAAAACTCGCTATAAAATGAAGCTAATTCTAGGGACGTCCAAAAATTCCTCTTGACTCTTTAGATCACACAACGAATTTAACAATTTTGTCAGCATGGTGTCCCTGAACTTAATCTACTTATTTTTATATGGGAGAAGACCCAGAAATGGGAAATCTTTAGTCTGGGATGTCAGACATCCTACCCCTGCTTCCCTGACTACATCCTTCCTTGGGTAGAGCTCTTCCCTGAGGTACGATTGCAGGTTTAGGAAAACAAATCTCCCAGTTTTTACTCCCTGCAATTACTTCTCTGAAATCTTCCCTTTGAGAAGCTTCAGGTGATCAGCACCTCACCAGAAATGTGGATTTAAGCGCATTGGAGATAGAATTGAAAAGTAAACTTGCTTAACTGGCTTTTCAATGTGCAAACTCACTGGCTGCAAAAGAGGTATATTTACAGAATTCCATCCCGTCTTCATGTGTTATGTGGGCAGGTCGCAAAATCAATGTCGGAGAACTGTAAAGCACACATGTAATGCAACCCAGGACAAATAAGGAGGAAAACAGCAGAGATGAAATCTGCTTTGTGACAGTTCCTAAAGGTGAAATTGGGAAAATCTGGAGGTGAGAACCCGATTAATTTTGATCAAATCTGGAAGTGTTAATTGCATCAGCATCCCTTGGGGGCACCCGCTCAGCTAATTGCTAATTAATTTGCTAAAGGAGCTGGCTGCAAATGAAAGTCTGACCTATAAAAAAAAAAATCTCGTTTTTTCAATTTGTGTCTGGGTTGTTTTCGTTGTGTGGCTTTATATAGGATGCAGAATTAGGCCGTTCTCAAAAGCGCAAATGAGTTAGACGGGTGGCTTTCGCGCATGTAGCTCTTCATGCCTCAAATGAGGAAGGCTCCATCAGTGAAGCCCCAACCTATAATAGTAACTAATGAACTGCTGCATCACTGCACTCTCTCATATAGGCAGGAGGTTAACCCAGGTAATGGGTTGTATGGGGTGGTAAATTGCCAGCTTCAGGCACGGCTTTTCTTTATAGTAGATTTTCCATCAATTTGCTTTGCTTTTGCCGATTTCTCTTGTGGGGTGTACCATGCTTTTACTGCGAAACCAGTACACGAGTGTCGCACGGGCCTCATCGGTATTTATAACGGCAAACCAGGATGCTGTAAAGCACAGGGAAAGCAAGGCAAAACCTCAAGATACAACGGATAAACAAATCACAGACGTGGTCCCATAAAACAAAGAGAAGTGAATTTACCACCATCAACAGCCGTCTCATCTTTCCCGTCTAGTTCAGGTATGGCTCTCTCTGCCTAGGGTTTTCTGTAAGGGGGCCAGGTTGGAGGTTGATTTAGCTTCTCAGACTTAGCAGAACAGCACTGACTTCCTCTACTCTGGGAAGCGACATCCTTTTGTGCATTTGTCATTATTTTTAAAGAGCAGAATTCAATGAAAAGGACAGGAAGAGATCTTTGGTTTTGGTTTGGGTTGGGATTTGTCAACTCAATCCTATAGGCGGCAATGGCGCCCACACTGGAAATTTGCACAAGCCTACCAGTTCCTGTCTTTGTTGACTACGGACAACCTGATGTGTATTTACCAATAGCAACCCCTGGGCTTTCACCACATTTAGAAAAAAAAAACTTTTTCCACCATGCTCAATTTGCTCTCCCATTTCTTTCAAATCTCCTAATACTTTGAACACCATACGAAAACGTAAGGAACACTATACCTCCCTGGGCCCTTGAGCTGTTAGCCCATCTGATCAAAAACCACACCTTTCGTCTTTGTCAGAGGAAGCTCTTGAGATGTCTCTGCAACCTTGAGCTGGAACTTGAATGAAGTCATCCCTAATTCTTTCAAATTGTTAGCATGTTCAAACCTCGTCCGCGGGGATACTCTTAAAGGGGTATTCTGGGCCGTTTATGGGATGTTTCATAAGGTCCTTGAGTTTTGTCTAATTAGGGAGAGAAACACAGAAAGGAAAAGAAGCAGCAAATGAAGCATGGTAGTAAATTTATCATGAGTGACCCACAGAGATTGGACTTCTGGGAATATGGTCCCTTAGTGTTGGACATGTGCCCATGGGTATTTACGCTCTTGAAGGATATGTTTGGTGGGACTGTTCTGTACCTCCCTGTTGTCCCTACACACACCTGACCTTGTTCCTCCACTGCCTCCCCGCTTTTGTCTAAGAAAGGGTCTCTATCGGCTCCTTTCCTTCTTGGAAACAGCCCCACCCCCTCCACTCCTCCTCCCCATTACAGCTTCTGTTGAGCCGACACCCCCTTCCAGTAATCCAGGATGTCATGCAGATCCTCATCCTTGGCAAACTGGACTTTCTTGCGCAGCGCATGCCCCGCCGCCACGTAGGACGCCTCTTCCCGGGGGCTCTTCCTGTAGGGGCGGAAGCGCTCCCAGATCTTCAGGGTGCTCTCAGAGGAGTACTCGGGGCTGGAGGAGTAACCAGAGTAGTGATGTCGGGGCGAGAGCTGAGAGTAGGAGGCCGCGTCCCGTTTGGAGCGTGTCAGGGGCTTGAGGAAAGAGGCCTTCTGGGAGGAGGGGGAATCGGAGGAGCCCTCGTAGTAGAGCGCAGGGAAGGAATGGCGGTGCTCCGAGCAGTGGTAGGCTGGCCCCACCTCCAGGTGCTGCTGGATGCCAGCCCCGGAGCTCCCTCCCCCTCCCCCGCTCCCCCCCACAAGAGGCAACTTCTCCAGGGGCTCCCCACAGCCCAGAGGACTCCCTTTTTCGGTGTACTTGCAGGAATCGGGGCTGCGGGGTTCAGGCACATCCAGGCTGAAGACCCGGGCACTCTTGATGGACCCGCTGGAGGAGACGCTGCAACGCTTCTTGACCGATCCCAGGACCACGACCGCTGCGTCGGCACTCAGCTGCCTCTGGAGGGGCCTTGATGAGGAGGAGGCAGGAGGGGGGTCCCGGTAAGGCGGTGAGAGGAAGCCCCCGCCACTGATGCCCACACGCTCTGAGAGCGGGAGGACCAGAGGAGCCATGGGTGGAGGGGGAAGCTTTGGGGAGGCGATGATCTGGCCGGAGTGACAGGCTTCCGACATGCTGGAGGAGACCGGGATCAGCCCGCGGGTTGAGGAAGAGGAGGAGCACGGAGGCAGCTGGGGTGGGGGGGACGTGGCACCTGGGGGGCCTGAGGCTGCCGCCGCCGCCGCCGCCGCCGCCGCCGCCACGGCCACCGAGTCCAGCTTGAGTGCATCGATGCAGTTGTTGATGATCTGGTTGACTTTGTCCACCTCCTTTGCGATGGTGGAGATCTCGGAGGCCGAACCCTGGCCGTCCTCTTCCGAGTCCTCCCCGGGATCGGTTCCCTCATCTTCCCGTGGGTCATCCTCCCCCATGCCCCCTGCTGCTCCCCCCCCTCCTCTCCTCTCCGACCCCTCCCCAGACCCAGAAGTCCGCACATCCATGTAGTTGCCCTTTGTAGCGGCCATGGCCTCAGAGAAAGCCGAGGCCATCTTCTCAGCTTGGGGGATGGCGGAGAGTCGGGACGAGCAGGTGTTGCCCGACCCCTGGTGCATCCCAGAGCTCGCAGAAGAGGAGGCGGGGATCTTGCCATGATGGTGTTGATGGTGCACTTGGTCATGGAGCTTCTGCATGGCCGAGGGGTCACCCGATGCTGCCGCAGCGACAGCTGCTACAGCCTCTGGTCCGTATCTCATCTCTAAGATTGTCTTTTTGACGCTGATGGACTTCTGTTTCTCCTCCTGCATGCGGCGCTTGCGCAGGCAGTAGTAGACCAGCCCCAGCACAATGACCATCCCAAAGAGGCAGCCCAGTATGGTCATAATGTAGTGTGTGGTGGTAGAAGGACTGGGCCGCATGTCATCTGGACTTGGCAGGCGAGTGGAGAAGAAGACGCAGGTGTGGTTAAATCGCTGCTGGTTGCGAATGGAGGCCACACAGAAGGTGTAGTTGGTATGTGCCTTGAGCTTGTTCAGGGTGATGATCTCCTTTGCCTTCTTTAGGTTCATCACGTCAGAGACGTAGCTGTTGTTGTACTGCACCAGGATGTACATCTTGCTGTAGGGCTTGGGGATATGGACCAGGAGGGAGGCAGATGAGAGTGACACTTGCTGAACCTTAAGGGTAAGGTTGGGGGAACTGCTTGAAGGGGGCGTTGTGAAGACCTGAAAGGTCCTCTCTGTTATATAACTACTCCCAGAACCCTCAAAATCTGGGGTAGTGGTAGAAATTTTGGACATGACCCCATCCCGGCAAGCGGAAGCCAGCATGGTCCTTGCATTCCGGCCATGTCCTGGCAAAGGGCTTAGCAAGGGGTACCCAAAGAAATCACGAGGTGTCTCACACTGCAGTCGGTCATAGGTGTGGGTCACGTTATTAAAGGCTTCCAGCCAGGTCAGGAAGCTATAGAGGTCACAGCCGCAGTGGAAGGGGTTGCCGGCAAGTTCGCACACCATCAGCCGACTGAGCCCAGTAAAGGTAGCAGGGTCCAGGCGGGCCAGTTTGTTGGATGACAGATCCAGGCTGGTCAGACTGGGACACTCCCAGAAAGCATTGGTCGAGATGACTTCAATAAGGTTGTGCTGCACAAAAAGACACTGCATGCGCCCTAACCCCCTCAGCATGCCCTCGGTCAGGTTGGTGAGCTTGTTGTAGCCCAGCTGTAGGACTTGGAGGTTGGACTGGCCTGCAAAGGCCCCATCCTCGATGTAGGAGATCTCATTCTTGGTGAGGTTGAGGTCGGTGAGGTTGGTGAAGCGGCTCAGGGAGCTGAAGAAGACGGCCTTCAGCTTGTTCTCGTTGAGCCGCAGGTCGTGCACGGTGTTGTTGATGTGCTGTGGGATGGTCTCGTACGGGGGCTGGTTCTGACTGCAGATGGCCAGCCAGACGTAGCCCTTGTCCCCCTCGATCAGCCAACAGTCAGCTCCAGCAGGAGGGGGCAGGTGCAGGAGGGAGGGGAGCAGGAGGAGGAGGACCGGGGTAGCCGAGGCAGAAAGGTGGAGGAAGGGGCTTCTGAATCTTTTAGGCATAATGGGGGGCTTGTGCTTCAGCAGGAGGATGAGTCAAAGGCAGGGCAAACAGGGAAGGAGTCTAGATGGGATTACAGTATGACGTGAGGGGCACAGAGAGAGGGAGCAGGGAGGGGACAGGGGAGGGGGCTGTGTGAGGAGGAAGGGGGAGTGAAACTGGGGGGCTGATGCGGGTGGGGTTGGCGCTTTTTAAGAGAAGGCTGATCACAGGTGATTCGTTGGCATGGTGGCTAGCAGTGTGCCCATCTTGGGTATCTCTGGGTTGGGCTAAAACATTGGGTATTACAGGCCTTGTTCATGGCTTCTTTCTTCTCGCACCGATTCGTCTTCTGCCTTCGGATCTTCACCCCTCAGCTCCCCTTTCTCAGCTGCCCGGGCGGAGAGCAGAGTTGGAGCAGAAAAAGAGGATTCTGCAGAAAGAAACGACAGACATTTTGGGTCATCCGCTCGGCCACAGCAGCCAATACCCAGCATTCTCAGACAGAGACGAAAAGTGGACGCTCTCGCTCGACAGCGTTCGGATACCAGTATCCTAGATTTGTACAGTAAATGTTCCGACTTGAGAGGGATGAAAATAAGAGGTCAGATCTAAAAGCGAAAGAAGACCAAGCTTCACCCAAGTAGTCACACACCGCAACTTTAAAAATAACCTTGTCTTTATCCGATCTCTCCTGCACCACATTTTGATCCGCAATTTTCTTAAGTCGATTTCAGATGTTTTTCGCTTCTGCCTCTGTCATTTGCTGCAGGCATGCTTTTTATAAAATTATTGGGCCTGCCTTTTATTTGTCACTGCGCCCTTGTGATATGTGACTAATATTTTAGGGGTTGTGCAAGTTACTACTTCATGAGTGCCTTGGAGCCACAAGGCACCAGTGAATGTTTGGCACCAAAGCAGAATTTCAACATGCTCATCATGTTTTCTTCGGTTCAGCGTTCTGATGACAGCAAGTCTCCATCCGTTATCAGCTGATTTGATTTGCATCATATTTACATAGTCTCCTTGCAGCCAGGAGAGTATTAGAAAACAAACAAGGAGAACCGGAATATGTCTGTCGTGGATACTTATTTGGGTTCTTACAAACTGAGTGGGCGGCGTGGTAGTGCAGTGTTTAGCATTGCTGCCTCGCAGTTCTGGGGTCAATTCCTGAGGCGCTGACTGTGTGGAGTTTGCCTGTTCTCCCTGCGTTTGCGTGGGTTTCAGGCTGGTGGGTGAATTGGCTTCTGGGAAAATTGGCCCTGGTGTGAGTGTGTGTCTGTGTCTGTTTGCCCTGCAATGGACTGGTGTCCCATCCAGGACGTAGCCCGCTATGAGAGCTGTTAATAGTTCTTCTCTGGTGCTTCTTTTTAATGAGTCTAAACAAGAACAAAAGAAGGCTGAGAGAAAAGCAGGCATTCAATTCATTTTATGTATAATAATCTTATAGTAAATAGCAACCCAGCCAGTTGGGTACTTGAGTACTCATGTAAGTAGTACTGTACTGCACAGTCCTTACAAGTGTTTATCGGATAAATCACAGAGGGATTGTAGTGAAGTGCATTAGAGCTGTGATCACTGGAAATTAAGTTCAATTTGTATAAATGCAGAGGACAGCCCCAGCAAGCCTGCAAAGCAAATCACACACATTGTTCCTGGTAACACAGCTGTCTGGAGGGCAGGAACTTCCATTGTCCCTCTTCTTTTCCTCACATTGCTTCACTTCACTCTCCACTCCCTTCTTATTTCAAGCCACTAGAGGGGTGATCTGATTAAAGAGCCCACATACAGTCATTCAGCCCCCAGGATTACTTAATTAGGACAGATAGGAGAGTATGAGGTGGAGAGTGATGTAATGGAATTAGACTCACAAAGGGGATACTGGGAGCGTGACAGCAGCACAGAGGGCATCGTGGCAGAGCTATAGGACAGCACCGAGGTCATCGTGGCAGAGCTATAGGGCAGCACCGAGGGCATCGTGGCAGAGCTATAGG